TGTTTCAAAAATAAACTTCCTGTTTTAAGCTCTAATAGACCATTGTTCACGCTTAAGAAAATTGAATATAGGAAATTAAGTTATTTTTACTTAAAGACTAAAGGTTTTTTTTAATTAAGTGATAGTATCAATTTTGGTCTTAACGATTTTTACTTTATTTATAATGTAATGAATTTTTACATGAATCCAGTTTTCGTGGTTTATGAGTGTCATCAATATATATTAATAATCACGCAAGTTAAAAGTAAAAAATAAAATGTAAAGCAAAAAATAAATTTCACATAAATAGGTAAGACAGCTGTCTGTAGATGCTTAATTGATTTTCACTTGGTTCTTCTAATTTTAATTAATTAGTATAAATCAGAAGCTGTCTATAAACCATATTTTAATTTTAAAACCACACATAATTCTCACTCCTTAGCTTTGTTAGAAAAAGACTTTTGTTAAATAAATTGATCTTGTTAACGAAACAAATATTATGGGTAGATGTAGATGTAAGTAGTATTATGGGTGTAAATATATAAAATATTTTAATATTTTACAATTCATTATTTTGATTTATCAAGATTTTGTGAAACTCAGCCTTGGCAGAAGCTCGGCTTGTAAATTAATTAATAATAATAAATTCATTCCTGCGACCCCCCGGGTTTAAAAAAGAAAGACCTCACACACTTACCGTATTTCCAACAGGAAAGACAGAAAGTTGTTTTCACGCTAAAGTCTATTTCAAGGCGCGCTATTTTAAAATACGTTACGGCTTCTCGAGAACGCTATTTAATTGTAAGTTTTTTTTCTTCAACATGCGATATAAAATGGAAATTTAAACTGACACGACTCGCCCTATAAAGTTCTGGAAGTGGTAATTGGCCTGGCGCTTTTCATAGGGTGATATTTAATTCCGGTAGTCCAACTTTCACCACCTACCACCATTCAACAGGCTGTTAATCAATCAAAAAGTCCCATGCTTAACTTGTGTATATAAGCATCTTATCTTATGCAATTTGAAACCCAGAATGAAATGTGAAGTCTTTAATATTAATTTCACACTATATTCGGAAATTTATAAATACTATGATCTCATAGATACCATATTTACTGCAATATTGATACTAATAATTCCAATCTATTAAAAGATCTAATTGTGGCAAAATAAGACTGAAATGTATAATAATGTAATATAATAATAATGTGATGCTTCTGCTTGAATAGCAGATTGCACATTGCCTTCAATTCTATTTCTCTTCCATAAATTGCAATTAAAACATGATTAAAAGGAAATGGTAGCGTCGCTGTGGTGGATCGGCAAAGAAGGTCTCATGTACCAAGAGCTCGATCGATCTTAATGATGAGAAATCAAACTAGCCCGACTAAGAATAGGTCTTGAAAACTGACTTCTGGGCCTCTAAGCTCGCGTATGTGTCCGGCATGTAGAGAAAGGTTGGTTAATGAGTCACACTTAATTGAAGGGTAACCCTTGGCTCTATGCAGAAAGCGAGTAGGAATACCACTAGATTTGTGCATAGCTCGGCAGTGACCAGTGTCCATTGGTCCTATTTTTAGAAGATGCAGGGCTTTTTATTGTAGTTTATAGATATCTCGTTTTGGTATTGGTTTGGAGTATAATGAGTGGGAATGTATTTATTAGTGTAACTGTGTAGTGGAGAAGGCCGATGGAGGACGCTTCAAATACATTAGTTCTTCAGGGTGTGGAATATCAAGTTCTCCACCTCCCTAATTGAATGAATCGTATGAAAGTAGGAAAGAATGTATTTAAGGATGAATGATGGTGTGTCTAAGTTTAAAACCAGCGAGCGTTAGAGGACGAAATGATCTAGCCGTTAACACCCCTGTTGTTTTCTTAGGCAGCGGAATGGATAACACCTACGTCTCATGTGAAAATCAAAATAATTAGCAGTCCAGCTACCACCACTTCATCCCCCAACGCACTCTGTCTCTAGAGCCAAACCACTCATTTTCACTCACTCTTAATATTTTTTCCTGTTTAAATGTTATTCACTCATTTAAGTTCGAATATTTGATTTTCGTCCATCACCCTCTACACATATTGTATAACTAATCTAATTGAGCATCGATGGGATACTTAATATTCTACCATTGGTAGTCTCTTATTCACGATATTAAATTACATTTAAATAAAAACAATCTTTAAAAATATATTTGCATACTTTGTACATTAAAATAGTAATGATTCCTCCAAAAATCATTACAGCGACCCCAAAAAATAAAGTCCTACTCAAGCACAGTATTCATATTGGGTGTCAATCCTACGTGCTCTCTGTATGGAATCAAGGAATGACACCCTTCAATAAGTAACCCATCGAAAAACCTTTTTCTACATGCTGGACACAAAACCAGGCTTTGGCCAGAATTTAAGTTTCCTTGTGTCAACCTCTCATGGCGTATTCTTAATCGGAGAGGATGACTCCTCTTCTACGAGTCCGATCCGATAAAATGTTATTGTGTTTATTTATAAATATTTTATGTAACATATCAAACTGAATTAAAATTATATTACGTACTGAAATGAAATATTTAGTTGTTCATTGACTGATAAAAGGCTATAGTCATCACTGGCCCCATACGAACCATCCGATTTGTATTCTTTCAAGCATCGTTTAGGTAACACTCAGCCATTTGAGCGCTATTGCCTTCATTTTTCAAATCACTGACCCGCTGTTGAATAAATGTGTTTTATCTATTTCCCTAACGAGCTAGGCTCTCGCTGGTAATTTAGGTTATCAATTAGGTAAAAGGAAAACATAATAAACATAACATATACCCAAAAATAACATAAAAAAACGAAAAGATTTCGCGCTCCCTGTCATCCCTGCTGCTGCAATAAAATCATCTAAGAATTTATATTTTTTATAATTTCATTAAAAAAATATTATACCACTAAAAAAATCAGATATTTTTTGTTGTCTTTATTAGAGGGAATTACTTTATATTGTTTTTAATTTAATATCCGATTGGCAGGGAAATTTTTTTCAGCATTCTCAAATCTCCTTTGTCCAACTGCCAAAAAGAAGTTAGCCAAAAAATATGTTGGACATTAAATTAAATAGATTATAGATTCGTACACTCGACCTATTTTTTAAGCCAAAGTTCAATTAAATGTTTATTTTATACTAAAAATTGTCTATGATTCAACTAGGTGAAATGAGTGAAATCGTTAGAAAATTGCTAACAAAGTTGACTAAAACAATATTCTGAGTCGTAATAAAACACTATTTATAAAAGTTCGGATGTTTCGTTTTGAAAATATTACACGTCCAGAGTCGGTGAACCGACAAGTTTTAATCGCTGGGAAGATATCGACGGGAAAATTGAAAGCGCTATCCATAGGCCATTGCCTGCTTTCAGCACGAGTTTTACGATATTGGATTCCATCGTGTTTGTTAAAAATTCACATAGCAAATCGTACAATTTGAAAATAAAATGTGCCTGAATGGTAGATTCTTGAGATAAATGTAGCATTAGCTTAATCTGTAATAGCCAACAAATACCTCTCTGGAAATAAAGTTACGATATTAAAATTTAACGTCAGTTTCTATTCACTATATGTCGTTATATTGTATGTATTACTAATTTATTAAAGAAATAACTCTTTGTACTATGTAATGAAATCAAAATTATTTACAAACATTTCTTATCTCATTTTTGCCTATCAAAACTGACGAGTTTTATTATACTTCTTAGCAACTAAATAATAATGTAGGAAATAATCAATTTTATTACTTGAGTAATAATTGTATAAGTAAGTAAATTTATAATTTCAGAGGCATGTCATGCCTTAGCCCATTTGACTAAAACTATACTTAAATTTAAATTGTCTTGATTATTCGGTTTAAGTTCTGACGCGTTTTAATACTTGGAGTACTAAAATACTTCTTTGTCGATTATTTATTTATTCTAAATAAAAATGAATTTACAATTTATTAAGGATTTTAGTTGAGATGAAAAAAAGTTAATGGCACGAGAGGGATTCGAACCCACGACCTTCGGCTAGATACGCCGCTGCTCTACCACCTGAGCTATCGTGACCTAGATCTACTCGGACATCAACTCCCCATCCCAACCCCACCTTATGAGTTTTCCCTCCTGGTTGAAAAATGGCAAAAGGAGGGAAACTCATAAGGTGGGGTTGGGATGGGGAGTTGATGTCCGAGTGGATCGAGGTCATGATAGCTCAGGTGGTAGAGCAGCGGCGTATCTTGCCGAAGGTCGTGCGTTCGAATCCCTCTCGTGCCATTAACTTTTTTTCATCTCAACTAAAATCCTTAATTAATTGTAAAGTATTAATTGGTCAAGCGGACCACGAAATTATTGAATAAAAATGAATTATTTACACCTAACTGCTAAAACAAATGTACACCTGATTCCTTCCACCTGTAACTTCACTATGACCTCGGCATTTTTTCCTCATTCATATTTACATACAAGGCTATTTATTTTTCTTGGCGTTAATGACAAAAATTACTAATAAATACAATTTTTTGGGGACGATTCATTATTATATTTTAAATTGTAACTTAAATCTTGATTTAATTAATTGATTGATTAATTTCTGAATCTGGCTGAATATCCCTGATAAAGCCAAAAAAAAAATCTTGATTTATTGTATACGTATAGTAAATAGGGTGTCGCAGTCAGTGGGCACTCTCTACACGACACGCAAGAATGGCACAATTACGCAGAAGATAAACACTTTGAGCCCTGAAGATGATCTCAATAAAGATCGAAACGTTGGCACATAAAGAAAATGTTTTTTCTGAAACCTACATCACACCAGACCGCACCTCACGATTTCTGAATAATTATCGATTAACGGTCACTAACCACCACACATTATTATTTTTTCATAATTCTACTCTAAAGTGTGTAAAAGTACATAAATGGTGTCAAAATGTGAATAATGAGACCGAAAATGTTTTCATTAATTTAACAATAAAATAAATTTAAAAAAATGTTTTACTTACGTGCAATGCAAGTCCAATGTTTGTTTCATTAGCTGAATGAAATTCGTACCTGAAAATATAATTTAATTTTTAATTTATTTTCATTTTTCTTGTAATATTAATATTTATCAAATACCATATATTGGTAAGTTCTTTTATTCGTTTGTTTTTAACATAATGGTGACAAAATGGACAGAAAAGAGCAGATCCTGTATCATTTGTAAAATTTAAAACTATCGTTACACTCTCCCTCCAGTAGTAACCCTGGTGGAGCAAGACGTTTCTTTAGAAGGCCGGCAGTACTGGCCAAAAGACCATTAATATTGATGTCCTCATTATTTAGAACAGAAAAAACAGACTGGCCTAGGAAGACTTGGCCCTTGTTTCTTTTCGGGTGCAATAAAGAACTTGGCACGTCTCTTCTATGTGGAATTTGACCAATTACAATTACAACCCAAACAGAAATGTAGGAGCACTCTTCCTTTTGTCTCAGTCCTCGCGGCTAATTAATTCATTAGAAAAAAGGGAAATGTTTGTGTTTGATTTATTTCTTTTAGAATAAAAATTATGACAAAAATGCATCGCTTCTCTAAAACGGATATTGTCTATATTTCAGCCACCTGAGAAATTTATCGATGCAAATACCTCGAAAGCTTTGTAGTATACAGTGAATACTTGCAATACTACGTACTGAAGGTTAAAATTCTCTTTCCTTCAAGTAATTTTTCTTATAAAAATAATGGTTATAGAGAGTTTTAATCAATTTTTTAAAAGCTATATTGTTTACGTTTCCAATTAACTGTTATACCTGTGTTTTTAAGTTATTAATTTACACTATTATTAGTCATAAGTATATGTTAAAAAATAAAAAACCTTTTAAAAGTTGGAATTTCAGTTTGGTTCAAATATTGTAAGTTGAAATGAATATAATTTATAATTGTGAGTTAAACAAAACTTTTATTACTTGGAAGTGCAAATTAAATTTTAGTGCTTGAGCAAGAATAATGTTTGCGTCAACACCATAAAAAAGTCTGCTTTTTTATTCTCGTCTTCATCATATAAGAATAAGATTTTTACTTCTTTTTTATCATTATAATTATTCTACTATTTTATTGTGATTTTGTTTATTGTAGTATTGTGAGTTTATCCGTCCCTCCAGATACTAAAATATGAGTAGTATATATCATTCTTATTTACTAATGAATTTTATTGATACTCTTCTTTATGTTATAATAAATTCATTGTGAATAAAAACAAAATAACAATAGCTGCAAATAACAATTATACTTGAGTCTTATTTCTATCCCAGTTCGCTTATTTGCTGTAATCCGATTGCCCCAATTAATGGACAAAACTTTCTAAAGTTGGGTTAATCTGACGTACTGTATCAACCGTAGAGAGGAAAAAATCAAACAGAAATTATAAAATGGTTTTAAAAATTAAATGAATGTTGTTCAGAATTGAATTCAAAATGAGCATGTGAATATTTCAATCGAGACATTATTTCTACACTCTCGGGAGAAAGCTACATACGTCTGTTAAAATAATAAAACACCGTTTCTGAGGATTGCGATTTTAAAATTGAGACCTTCGATGCACTTTCTAGTTTTACAGCTTTTTAGTAATATTTTTTTATTTTTCTCACATTTTGACAAATTCTATGTAATTGCCTTAGTAAAGAGGTCTATCATATTACTTGTCTGTATCTTCACTTTACGGTACTTAACACACTATGCCCCGACACTGATCTAGTTTTTAACATAAAATTAGAAGACTGGGTAGAGCACTACTTATGCAATTATTCAAGTATACCTTCAATTTGCTAGTAGATAAAAAAAGACATCTTTGTAGTATCTAGACAAATATTAATTACATCTGTGTGTTTTTTAAAGTTAGAAGTAGAGCATACATAGGTATATTCACTTATTCTATTTCAGTATATGAGTATTCGAGCTTACTGATAGATAAGTAAAATTATCGAAATGTTGAAATAACTTTTCGATGTAAATAAGTGTATAAAAAATCACATTGCGTTCAAAAGGATATGGTTTCATTCTCAACGTCCTCACTGATACACAGTATGTCAAGCTTAAAAACTGGAATTTGCACTATTTCGCCTTTTCCAGTTTTGTCTGAAAGGTGGAGATACTTGATAGATCTGCCAATAATGAATCTTCAATCTCCTTCCGGGGGATAACCATAACAAAATTTTTTTAACCAAATATTTTAAAACAGTGACAAAATCAAAACAAACAGTTCCTTTGCCAAGATTTCGAGAAATATATCACCTTCATCAAGATTTGGAAAATATTTCTAATGATTGACACAGTTATCCGATATAAACAACTACTTATAATATTTAAAAAAAATATAAGGCGTGATTATCATTAGTCAAGGCCCCAGCCGGTTAATTTCTTGGTAAGTAATATAAAATACTACATTTCTCGAAAGCTTGTAAAAAGATTTGTGTATTTTTCTTTCTCTCGAATATGCCTTATCCCTGACGATTATAATATTAATTACAATTGATGGTTTATGTCGTGGTCACTTCGTAATACCAATAAGGAAATAGTTCGCCATAGTTGGCCACAACAAATTTATTATGACAACCACATTACCTATTTATTACCTTTTTTGTATAATATTAAGGCTGATATCAATCACATCAACTATTTTTATACTACTCTCTAGCTATATTTCTACTTATGATTGAAAAATTCTTTGCAATTTATAATATTCGTACTTTTTTTCTTAATGTACCGTGATATCGTCAACTGATTATGATTTATATAAGATCAAATCTGCATATGCATGTACATATGCACACCCATCTACAAAGTTGTGCCTATCACTTCTCGCAATTACAGCTTTTGTATTTTGCAATGAATTCGCGGCAGGCCTCGAGAATCACCCAACCCGGCTTGCCTCAAAAAATCGGAACACGGTACTCAAATACTCACTGTCATGTTCAAGCTCAATTCTCATATTATTATTCTCATACGATTATTATTTCTCATATTAGGACGCATTATTATTTTTATATGGAGCAAATAAACTCGATAATTAAGTGGGCCACAACGAGCAACCTTTCTCTACATGCCGGACACATATGCGGGCATTGGCCAAAAGTAAGTGTCCGTGTGACTCGCATGGCCTATTCTTAATCGGGTGAGGATGACCCTTCTTCTACGAGTCAGGTCCTCCGAGGGCCACATATTGACTGTGTCCTTGATACTCGAGAGCTTCTCTGCCGATCCGGCCCACTGAAGAGAAACAAATTGAAAATACGAAAGCAAATATTCATAAAAGCATGTTAAATATATTGATTATATATTAATAACACGCTGTTCATGAAATTGTGCTAAAATCGACAATTGTTTTTAGCACATTGGGAGAGTGTAAAAATGTAAATAAATTTTAAAAGAGACTCCAGGGAAAGGACTCATCAAGAATTCTGTATAACAATAATAAAATTAATAAAATGAGACTTATGAATGATTACGTAAAACATGTCTGCGACAATCTTTATTCCTTTTCTCCCTTTTAATTTATCTTTGCTTTTCATCAAGACTCAATGACGAATTTGATGTACTGTTCTTCTTGTGGGCCTTTCTCTCACTCTTTATCTTTATCCCAATTATTAAAACGTCTGTCTATGTGTGTGCGCGCGCGTGCGTATATGCGAGCTTGGGTGCCCCAAGATAGTTTCAAAACAAATTACATAGGATTAATAATAATGCCTGTCTCTTTCTGAGCGTGGTTGCCCGAATCGGTAGACAAATTTTTTAGCTTTGCCAAAACGAAAACAAAGTCTCATAATCATTACTGAACAAAAATTTTTTTTATGTCCTGTCTGTCTGTTCGCTTTCTCTCTCTCTCGTTCTCTCTCTCTCTCTCTCTCTCTCTCTCTCCCTCNGATTTTGTGTGCATAATTGTAAGAGAGGACATAGAATTGCCTTAATTTGGGTACATAAAAAATAAAAGTTCAATTTTCTCTCTCTCTCTCTCTCTCTCTCTCTTTCTCTCTCTCTCTCTCTCATTCGCTCACTTCTTTCTTATCTCTTTGGGTAGCAAAGAATTTAAAAAAATATTTAGGATTTACTTTGAAGAAATCTTAATATACATGTTTTTATGCCTTGCCTGTGTCTGTTGTATAGAGATAGAAATGTGAGTGGTTTTTATATTTCGAAAAATAATTTTGCTTTCTCTTTTGTCTACCTTTAGAATCCACGGTGGTAAAAATGTATTTTTAAAATCAACATTTTTTAAACAGTTTTTGCACTTTTGTAAGATGGGACCGAAATGCAAATCTTGTGGGATGAAAAAAAAAAGAAAAATCTATTTTCGTCTTCGAACAGGGAAAAACGTCGTGCCAAGTGGAACAGAGGACTTTCTCTCCGGGAAAGGGTATCCGGGCCCTTTTCCCTTTGTCTTTTCGAGGTAGGCCGGGGGGTTGAGCCAAGATTGGAGCCCGCGACGGGGGTTGTAGTTGAAGGGGTTGGCCACAGAACGCGCCACAGAGAACCTATATAAGAACGCCCCCACCTCCGCACCGTTGCTCAAAACCGCGGCCGCCATCCTCGACTACCTTAGTCTTTGAACTATGACCCTTGCGGTCTTCTGAAGTGAATCCATAACCAACGTTTTTATTGTGTGTCTAGTTCTAATTTTCCGTTTCGACCCCCTGCGACTGACCCCTGGAGGAGGACCTCCTGGATCATACTTTTATCACAGGTAAGAAGAATTTACAAAAGTCAAACCCATTAACGTATCATTTAATAAGTCCTTAAAAAAACCAACAAAGTGACAGCTAGTTTAAAAGGATAAGAAGGTAGAAATCGTTTAAAGTCCCATAGCCCTTTCTGAAGACAAAACAATTTTTAGTATTTGTTAAAAAGCCACCCGTGGTTTCCAAATTCAAACGGTTTTCACCTATTAGGAAAAAAAATGTGACAAGAACCCTAATTTTTTACCCCTTGAAACGGCATTGTCTCGCTTGGAGATGGTCCAGTCTATTCCCGGTCGTCTCCACCCCCATCCCCCCGTTGTACCAGGTGCCCTCCTAGCCAACCGAAATACACCCGGGTGTAAATATATATTCGCCCGGCGGATATTTTGCACGGGGCTCGCCCTCCTCCGACAAACTTAGTCCTGGGGACCCGGTGCCAAAATCATTTAGTAACCGAGACACGGTCTAAAACCGTACGCTTGGCAACTGGTAGTGGCCCTCTTTGACATCGTTGTGTTACGAGAAAGGGGGTGGGAAGGGTAAAATTTTTCTAACATCCTCGCCTGCCTATTAATATTGATATAACAATTATAAAAGCTTTTCCGACTTTTGGTGCTTTTAATATAAAAATTGGATTACTTAAACTATTAACTTTTTTTATGAAAAACTTTAACACTAACCTTTAACTGCAATGTAACATTTTCAAAAAAAATCTAACCTGGATTTAGCTTTTTCCCTTTTTTTTTTTTTTTTTTTTTTTTAAATCGAACTTTTATGGAAAACCAAATGTGATTTACAGAAGCTTCGCAAATATTTAGAAATGTTGGATAGTTTACACTATAACTTATTAATTTATTATTTTTCAGAAACAAGTTTGTCTATTCTAGGACAAACCTTAGACACACAACAATACAAGTCTTACTTAATAGACAATAATTTCAATTATTGTTCAATTTTTCAATTGGGAATAACTTTAGCAATGCTCATAACTTGTTCACGTAATTTATTTTATTAATTAAGTTATTTATTTTAAGATTGTTGACACTAAATAAAATATAAACTTTTGAACAATGCCCCTGAATCGTAGAAAACAATAAATAATTGGAATTGTATATTAAAAAATTGACTCTTGATACAAAACCAAACTTCAAATGAAACCACTTTATTAATATTTTTCAAATGCCTGACATTTTAAACTATTGATTTAAGGAATTTGCTTTAACCTTTGATGAAACAATTTTCTCACTGAACAATAAACGCATAACAATTTGAAACACGTTTCATTTTTTTAAATTTTAGTTGATACCAAAAGACTGCCGTTGGATGACAAACCAAATAAACATGACAAAATTTTTTGTCGAAAGAATTTTAACCCTAACCTGTAACTAAAATGTAATAACTTCAACTATTTCTCAGTTTTGTAGTGAACCGCCAAACATAGCACGAAAAGAAATATGATAAAAGCCAACGACAGGTGTAATCAAGTAATATTAATTTTGTCAATGCTTTAAAATAGGATGACAATTTAAAACAATAACTTAAAGAGTTTGACTGTATTCTATAACTATAATATAATAATTACAATACAGTTTAGTTTACATCAAACACAATTCAGTGACAGGTTTATATAGAAACATTGGCATTTAGTTTTGTATCAAAAATAGAAGAATACCTTTTTAATAAATTGAACATCATTCATGTTAAAAATTTTATTATCTACCCGAGCAAAGCTATTGCTAAGGAGCTAGATAAAAAATGCTAGCTAAGATTAATTATTTCCAGTATCATTAACGAATATCTAATGAAAACACTACAACGAACATACATATGATATACTTTAATATTTAAAGTTTGTACTATGTAATTTATTAACAATGTAATCGCATAGACCTACCACTGAAGGAGGCGATATGCGATGATTGATTCTAAGGATAGGGTGATCAGGATGATCAAGACCCACGCCAAGTAAGAACTAATTAAAATGCAATTTTAGGTCAGGGGATTTTTAAAATCTTTGAATATATGGTGCAGAGTTTTGATTGATTAAGTTACTTAAAATTAAACTATTTTATTTGTTAAATATCGACAGCAAGTTAGAATTACAACCACCTTGAAACCTTGAAATGATGCCTATCATGCGAAAAACTGATGGGGAAACAATGAACCGTCTCATTGATTGCACACAGAAAGAACGAATAATTATGGAGCAACATAGCATTTCGTTATAGTCAAAAGAGTAAAACTAATTAGTTACCCAATTAAATGAGGAAGGTCCTGAAAAGGACTAAAACAGTTCAAAGAAAAGAACATTAATAATAAATAACTTTGTTTATTTTAAATCTACATGCGATAATCCATGAAGTAATCGTGTTTTTAGCTATTTTCGTTAGAATATAAAGTACTTCTAGGGGAGTGTAAATTAGATTTAGAAAAAAACGCGCGAAGGCGACTAAAAATTGAACGTATTTTCGTCCAATCTTGATCGGTTCAGTCAATTTTGGCGACTCTACCGTCCGTTCAGCCATGGATATAAATAAGATTATTTATCGTCACATTTGCCCGGCGATTAGTCACGAATCTCCGTCCACCTGGCCACGTGTCAGGGGATCAATTTCGATCCTTTAAGGCTTTGCAAACCTTTTAAACTGTCCGAGGAAAAACTTGGCGGATATTGTATTTGTTGCTACAATCGAACTTTACGACAATCGTCCCTGAGCGTCGATGAGAAAACGTTTTAAACGCTGAGCTTTCTTCATAAGTGTTTTACAAATTACGAAAAAGTCAACGTTTTACAATTTTTAGGGAAATAAAAATTTTCCTGTAGAAATTTCTACAGTACAAAAACTCATCTTCTATCTCTAAAAATGTATTAAAAAATCAGGAAAACGTATGAATAAAATAACAGAACGGCATATATTTGAATTTTTCTCAAATAAAATTCTGCACTTATCAAATAATTACGAAATAATTTATCTTATTTCCTCCTGAAAAAAATTAATTTTCCGCTTTGCAAGGTCAAAATATGATACAAAAATGACTGCTTTATATATTTTAACCCTTAACTTTAAAAAAATGCATTAAATATTATTAAACAATGAGGACTTATTTGTTATTGGCCATTAACCACATTCGCAGGCTCTAAAGTTCGTTTTTTGGACATCGCCCCCTCCAATGTTTTTATAGTACGGATTGGTAGGGGGATGAGATAGTCCTTCGGTAACATTTTGGACTATTCTCCGGTCACGTAAGCCTCGGATTGGTCCTGAAGAGGAGGTAATTTTTAAGCACGTTCAGCTTATAAAATTTTCATTTGGAGTGAAATTTTTAACAATAAAATTACATAAATTTTCTTTAACCATTTTCTGGTGGGTGATAAAACAATACATACATGTTAATACATTTGCATATGTAATACATGTTACATATATAATAATACTTCTCGAGTAACTTAAAAATAAACATATAACATTTTCTTATTGATTCCGATTTAAATCACCCTAGCGAAATCTCCCTGGCGGTTTATAAATAGGATTAGGAATAAGATGAGCCAAATAAAATCAATTTAAAATTTTCATCTTGTATTTGTGATGTTTCATGGTTACAGAATAATTTATTTCTAGTAGAAAATACGCTAGTTAAATAATAATGATTTATTCCATACGGTCGTTAGGTGGAGATGTTCAAAATGGGAATTTAGACTGCTGAGGCGGCATTTGAATATTCAAGATAGACAAATGTACAATTTAGATTATAAATGGCTTTTACTGAGCCGGATTTGTTAGAACTGATGAGGATTCGGGTTTATAAACGTATTCTATCATTTGTAGTCAGTTAATAGCGAGCATACTTTAAAAATATATCAACACAACAAAAGATAATATAAAGCTAATATAAAGTATGAAAAATGTTATTGAAATTGCTTCTTTTATCTTTGTGTAATTGATTTCACTTTTTTCCTCCAACAATTTATACAGAGTTATTATCAACTGACTTTGCAATACTATCGACCTTTGATAATTGATTGTCTGATCAAGCAAAAAGTGAGAGACGGGCAATGAACAAATAATAAGACTTCAAAAATAAATTGGAAAGATCAAACGCCGCTGTTAACTTTCTGCGATATTTACCAAATATTAAACTTAACATCGTCAACAATGATTGTCTCTATACTGTGTTGTACTTCAAGTACAATACTGAATTTTTTTAAAATTGTTATAATATGAATTTTCTAGTAATTAGTTAAATGTCCTTTACATGATTTATTAAGCGTTATCCTTCACTTGCATAAAGGTTTAAGAAATGATTTTCAAATTGGAAGACAACCTATTGAGACAACGCACAATTAGTCAATGTTTTAATTTTTTTATTTGTAAGTTGTTAAAACAAAATTTACGTACATAGGCGAAAAACTTCTCAACCAAGCCAATAATGTAGTTAGTTACACCTTCATTTACCATTTTGCAATCTAGAAGAAAGTATGATTTGTAAATAATCAACGTGATCAATAGTCGATTAGTCTGAAGGCTTAGAAATAAATTTCTATTGGGAAAGACAGTTTAAAATAAAATTCATAAACTACGACACTAATGAGTGCATGATATAATTCTAAATCAGCGTCACATTTTAAGTCCAAAAGGGGCACACTATAGTTTTTATCTATTTTATATGTGAAAACGTTGAACAGCAAACAGTCAACTAAAATGTTCACACTGTTTCAAGTTACGTTTTCAAATTGAAAGAAAATTCTGCTGGGTCAAACTTTAGTTTAACAACTAAATATTTGATCAAATCTATCAAGCCTTTAAGGAGAAGCTAGATTGTGAGAAAGGGAAAGTTTTAATTCTTCATAATTTTATTTTAAACTGTCTTTCCCAATAGAAATTTATTTCTAAGCCTTCAGACTAATCGACTTTTGATCACGTTGATTATTTACAAATCATACTTTCTTATAGATTGCAAAATGGTAAATGAAGGTGTAACTAACTACATTATTGGCTTGTTGAGAAGTTTATTTTCTGGAAATTTATTTATTAAGCGGGATGTTCAGGTTTCTGTGTATATCACTGATCCATGCATACCAAGAAGCTTCTTCATTTAAGTTTTTGAGTGTGTCCATACTGATTTTGTGGAACCCCATAATAAGTTGATTGGAAGGAAGTAAATTGTCTTTTCCACTACTATGCCTTTTCCATTTACTATGCCAGACGCATTTCTGTTAATATAGACCATCTTCAGTGACTTTTTTATTTATTTTTCATTTTTTTAAAATAAATTACTTCGACGGTTTTTTACATAATTATAAGTTCAAAAATGGACGGCTGGTCGACTATGAACGTGGCGAGTAGTCTGTCAAGAATACTTCAATTCTCGACAGACTGCTCACCACTTTCATAGTCGTCCAGTCATCCACTTTTGAACTAATAATTATCTAAAAAACCGCCAAACTACTTTATTTTAAAAAAGTTACTGTAGATGGTCTATATTACACTAAAATGTATAGCCTATTGTAGAATATAATAATTTATTTCCTACTAATCAACTTACACCAAAAAGCATCTTTAATAATTCGCAGTACTTTATTATGATAGTAGTACTTCTTTTGGACAACCCTTGAGTTCTATTTTACAAAAATATTACCATTATATATGTTTTAGTTGGTCCTATTAACCAAAGTAATTAATTATTTTAATTGATTTATTCTTTTTATGCAAAGAATGGTTGGTTGAAAAATAAAAAATCAATTAAAACTATTGGGTTGTCCGGAAAATAATGCAGATTTTCATGTTTTCTTTCTATTATTATATATTCTATATAATAAAATGTTTACGTTTGATAATTAATCTTTTGTACGAATGTCAATACTTTTTAATCCTCTTCCAATGTTTGTCTACCTTATTTGCATTTCGTTACGTGGGAATAATTCAGTCTTTATGAAGATGTCAACACGTGATTTTCGCGTATTTCGCTTTACGAGTTTAAACTCGGTCAGAACGGTGCCCAAACGCCCAGAAATATTAGTGAAGTCTGGGGAGATGGCAGTGTGAGTGAGAGCACCATTCAGAGATGGTTAAAAAATTTCGAAACTTTAGCCTCGAAGGTAAAGATGATATGTTTTCTTTGGTCGAAAAAATCCCACAACAACTGTTTGAGAACTTGCAGGGAATCTTTCAGTTAGCAAATAAACCGTTGCTGACCACCTTAAGACAATTAATTGGAAAGTTCGAAAGTTGGGTTCCTCATGCATAAAACGACTGCCAAAAAAATCATCAATATGAAGTGTGCGCAACACTTCTTTGCCAAAACAGAAACGAACCTTTTCTAGATGGAATTGGTACTTGTTACGAAAAGTGGATTCACCACGATAACAGCGGGCGTTCTGGACGGTGGCTCTACAAAAGGAGAAGCAGCCCATTTTCTAAAGCACCCAACACATCAAAAAAAGGCGATGGTGGCTCTTTGGTGGGCTTCATTTGGGCTGATTTACAACAGCTTCTTGAATTCTGGCGAAATACTCTATGCTCTGAATTCTCTATAATGTATTGCTCTCAAATTGAATCAATGCACCAGAAAATGACATTATTGAAGCCATCTTTGGTCAATCAGAAAAGGCCGATTTTTTATTATTTATTTATTTTTAAGAAGAATGAGAAATGAGAAAATTTGATTTTTTAGAAAGAATTTCATTTAAATCCAGTTTTACTTGGGAAATTTTGAATTTTTTGTTTTTATTGGCCTAATTTTAGGAGTATTAATTTGAGTATTGATCATAAAAATACTAGTAGTTTTACTTTAGTAATGTTAAAATGTTTTACCAGCCAACATTCAGAACTGTACAACAGACCAATAGCTTCTCCTTGATTAGTGGGTAATGGGTTGTCAGTTTCCTGTAAATACCACTACTGCTACGTTTCAAGTTACTATCAAGTGGAGGAGACAAATTCATTTATGAATAGGTCCTAACATAAAAGTTTTCCAAAGATGTAGCAGTGCATTTTTCTTGTAAAGAAGACACCTCATGGCTTTCTTCATTTGTTGGGAGGGTCTAAGCTCCTCAATGTTACAAGCAATATTATAGTCTTTATGTAGGTCAAACTTGAGCTGACTCTATAAATGAAATAGAGACGTGGCTTCTTCTTTCTCAGACCAAGAAGAACATTTACTGAAATATTACACTTTGTCCTTCCCAAGTTGTGCCCCATCATTTTAATTGTTATTTTTAACGTGCTTCGTCTGTGCTTTGAGCACACTGATTTGTTGAATCCGTTCTAAATTATTTCAGGAATTATCTTTATCATCCCAAGCCTATTTTAATAAACCCGAGAAATCCTTTTATTTCTTCTTTTTGGGGTCGTCCACATGGCCCAACCTCCAACCATGTACTTCGTTATTTCAATACTCTTTTAATGATCTGAATACAGCTACATCCATTTTGCATTTGGATACAAGACTATCAACTCACTAGCCAATCAGAGAAAACCAAGTAGCTATACAAATTGGTCCTAGTCATCCATCTGTTTTCTGATTTATCTAACCCCCAGCCTTTGGGAACAGTGTGTTGCCAATCATCTAGTGTTTGTTGTGCGATCAACCAGCTTTCATACGATGTTGATTGGGATTCGGGTTGTGGTCTTCAAACATACAATGTTATTATATCAACGCCCAAGCTTTCGACAAGTTTTATTGCCTTCTTCAGGGGATAGATACAAAGTCAAATCGTAAACACATTGCACATTCCACGATATGTATACAAACAAACTATATACATATATAATAAATAAATNTATGTATATAGTTTGTTTGTATACATATCGTGGAATGTGCAATGTGTTTACGATTTGACTTTGTATCTATCCCCTGAAGAAGGCAATAAAACTTGTCAATAGCTTGGGCGTTGATATAATAACATTGTATGTTTGAAGACCACAACCCGAATCCCAATAGCCAATCATCTAGCATAGTGGTAGCCTTAATTTTCCTGCTGCATTAGCATTTATTAATATGGGTATGCATTCTTTTTCATTGCTGTTAATGTGCTGGTAAGCTGGTAAACATTTTTATCTCTTTAATTAGTAATTACATGATTGTTTTTTGGTTAAAGAAAGGCAGTTTCATCTGCATTGAATATACCTATGACTTGGGTCGTTGAATACTTCCTCTAGCCCTTGCACTTTGAGATAATCATGAACTTCTGTTAACCACTTGTTTATACTGCATTCTGACCCAGCTGCTCTGCTAATGATTAGGTTATGGAGCAATTCATTTTGAGATGCTTGGGTTTTTCCTTTAAAATGCCTAAAGCCAAACAGGGCGACCATCAACAAAATTTTTTCTTTTCAAATCCTTTAGCAACTTCTGCATGCTATCAAGAAGACCATATTGTCATACAAGGAAACCAGCATTGGCAGTTGCTGAAATCCATTTTACTAATATTTCTTGTGAAATACTTCTTTTTGTGAAAAGTTCTGGTGAAAACGAAATTTTTAAAGATAATATTACCACCTTTGTGTGCTTTTTAGTGACCGGTTGTTGTAATTTGTTGAAGTCTTGAGGTGCAATTAGGATAAAATATTTAAAAAAATGCCTTTTTCCATTTGCTGACCTTCAACCTCTATTCGGGTCATCTTCAGCGCATAAAGTGTGGTACTATTCTTGTGGTGTTTTGTTGTGAAACAATTTTACAAAAAAAAACATTATGACACCACAAGAATAGCACCACACTTTATGCCATGAAGATGACCCGGATAAAGTTTGAACGTCAGCAAAAGGAAAAAGGTGTTTTTTTTTTGTTTTTTTTAATTTATCCCTAATCGCACCTCATGATTTCAAAAAATTACCACCTATACTAATGACGTAACCTCATACTTGGTGAATTAGCCTTTTAGCTGATGAAGAAAGTGGCACTTTGTTTGTAGTGAATCTGCAGCACCCTTTTGCAATTGGTTTTCATCAAATGACCAAAAACTTTGGTCACTTGAAGTCATTATTGTATTATATAAGAAAAATGGAGTAAAAATTCCTAATAAACTCAAATTTTTTCATGGGTTTAATCTTGAGGACAATGTCACTCGCCCCCCTCCACCACTTGTTTCATACAACATGATAATGAGTTGTCCATTGCTGGCCCAGGTTGTTAGATGACTATCATACTTAAATGGGATAAATCTGTACCCGCTGTAATAATGTTGACAGTGAAAATTTCCTGAACTACTAAATCACTCATTGCATTAGTCACTTGATGTCAACATCTTGATTCACAAGTGGACACAAGCCTAAAATCTTGTAACATAGACAGCTGCAGTTTAAAGCAAATCATGTGAATAACACACTCAGATTTATGAGGAATACTTCGAAAGGAGTTATAGAATGATTTTTGGGATTAAACAAGTAAAATAATTGTCTTACCTCCTTAGCAAAAGCATCAAGAGCGTAGGAAACTGGGCTGAGTCAAAGTCGGCCCACTGTAAAACTTTGTTGACCATTGTTGCCAACTGCTATGCAAGTTATCAAGACAGATCCTAGATGGCGCCACATAACTAACTTTTTGTGCTCATATACTTATTTGTCAAGTTTTGGATGCGAAGTGTCCACTGTGTATGTACAATTACTTTATGTCTAGTTTACTCTTCCTATTAAATCATCACAATTTCTTACGGTAATTTCGTTTGTTTTAACTGTTTATTTTTTAAGGAAAAGTGGGAAATCTATTTTTAAAAATAAAAATTGTATCAAACCAATTTTGGTTGAAGAGGGCGTATTACAAAAGTACGTTTTGGAAAATGTAAAAATTATATCAAATAACCACTTTTTCAGAATTGTTTTCTAGTTTACTCTTGCTAATTCATGATAGTTACTTATTAATTTCATTTCTTTAAAAAAAATTTCTTCTTAAGAACAGTAGGGAATCGTTTCCCCCCCCCCTCAATCCGTCACAAAAATATTTATATAATAGTTACTGATTAATTTCGTTTCTGTAAAATTGAGTATTATTTTGTAAGAAACAGTAGGAAATTTTTTTTAATGGATAATTTTATTCAAACCGTGTTACCTTTATTAAAAAAAAATTGACCAAATTTTAGAAGGCGTTTGCCAATACGTCAGAAAAACATTTATAGTTTAGTAAACTGTAAAAATGATAAGAAAAACCACTTTTTTGAACTGATTTCTAGATTACACGTGCTGATTCATGAGAGTTACAGTTACTTATATTAATTTAGTTTGTTTTAAATTGGTTATTTTTTCAAGAACAGCGGAAAATCTTTTTTTTTTCAATTTAATTTATTTTATTTTATTTTTTATAAATTGATAATTCAAACACGTTTTACGTTTATTAAAAAAAAATATATTGGCCAAATTTTAGAAGGCGTTTGCCAATACGTCACAAAAGTTCTAATACAATCGACTCTTGTTAATCCGACACTTGATAATTCGAATTTCTTGATAAAACGAACTCTTCATTGTGTATTTTGATAAACACTTTCGTAACAGGGGGAGAAAAAATATGTTATTAATCGAAATGTTCCAAATTTATAATTTGCACTTTTTCTTTGTTATATTCCTCTAAATGTCCACGGGTTGTTTACTTTCTTACAGCCTAAAGTTTCTTCGAATGTCCTTTAGTATGTTATGTTTTATGTTTGGTCAATGTGTCCTCAACACTGCACACTTCGAAAAAATCATTCAAACGAAGGACGCCAGGCTACACTGAAACCATGTTCACACTGCACGATTTTTTGAAATAATTTGTAACAATGTTCAATTTTACAGTTCATGTATTTCCGTTTTTTTCTTCATTTTTAGTATGTTTTACATATGTACAATTTAAGTAATAATTTGGAAAAATGTATATCGACTCATCAATTTTTTTCTTTTTTCTTGATAATTCGAATTATTTTTGTGGTCCCTTGGGTTTAGAATTATCAAGAGTGGAATGTAGTTTTATAAAATTGAAAAATGATCTGAAAATCTTACACTTTGTTGATTCTTGTCTTGTTTAATCTTGCTATTAATTTTTCATAGTTACTTTTATTGATTTACTGTAGTTTAGGTTGTTTATTTTCCTAAGGAAGAGTAAGGATCTATTTATAAAAAAGGGATAATATTGCAATTTTTTAAAACAAAAATGTAACTTGTCAGATCACTTGAATGGTTCATGTTTAATTAGTTAATTTGTTTTTTTAAACATTTTTGTAGAATTAAAAATTTTAAAAAAGAAAGAGTAGGTAAACTTGAATGAGATGAAACCATTTTTTTTTTCAATTCGAATAAGGGCGGGAGTCGGAGGGGTGTAAGACTGGCCAATGGGAGCTTTCCACATGAACCGTTGGGTCGCGTCGTTGACGACAGACAAGCCCTTTTTTAAAAAGGTTAAACCCAGCCCGAAAAATCCACCTCCGGCCCTTCAAAAAATAAACGCCCTTCTTTTAAAAAGGTCCTCAATTTGCCTTTTGCCCTCTGTGGTCGTAAGCCTCGGGCCCAAAGTCGGAACCTTTACCGCGTTGCGGCCCTCCCGGTCCGACGGGCCATGTGACCCGAGCGTGGCCAGTAATCCAGCTGGCAGTGAAACGTCTGTGGAAATTGAAATTGTCATCATTCGTATTTCTTCTCGTCTTCTGTCTTTTTAGTTGTTCCTTTTACTTTCATAAATGCATGACAATCATCGTACATCTCCGTTACAGACTCAAGCGACGAATCCGTTACAGACAAGACAGTATTTATAATCCGTTCTTCCAGAAATAATTGTGATATCAAGTTATTTATCGTCCTTTTTTTTTGTAAACTGTGGTTGTGCACTTTTTGTAACGTGTGGATAGAAGTTTAAAGGTTCGTATTAATTTTTAATAACTAAAATTATAGATTTAAAACCCTCTCGTTTTAATATTCCACCTATAGTTGTTAACTCGTATTAAGGTTTAAAATGCTAATTTAACGAGACACATCGTCTCTCTGGGTGAGGTTCTCTCGGGGATTTTACCCATTTTTTTATTTCTAGGCCACACTTTTCTGCATTGAATTAGAAGGTTAGGCCAGATTTAATCGCCTTCACCTGTAAAGAAAATGTTTTAAAATAGCCGGGCCACATTTATTTTTCTCACCTGTAAATCTCCCGTTACAATTTCCCCCGTGGCCCGGGACACGTTTGGCTTTGTCAGAACTACATTCTATTATTCCACCCGAACGGTTCTCAAGCCTTGCTCGCGTCGAAAAAATAATTTTCTATTTGGGGGAAAACCTTCCGACTTAGGAAAACCGGTTAAATATAAAATAAACGATAAAACAAATTTTTCCAAATTTCTTAAAACAGCTAGAATATTTACTGTTACAAAACAATGTCCAATGGTATAATGTTCGGATAATCAAATAGAAAATTTATATTTCATATTTTTTGGCCTTCCACATTTAAAAGAGAAAAGAGTAAAACAAAGGCCTTCTTTGTCTGGATTTCATGTAGTTCATGATTTCCTGGTTCCCATAAAATAAAAAAATTAAATGTAGTGTTCCACCATCTTAATACAAAATGATATGTATTAAAAACGTTATAAATAAGTATTAAAAAAAAGGCATTGACAAAATCAAAAGGGTAATTTCTGTGTTCTCATTTCTTATTTTAAAGCATTCCCTGAAAGTTTAAGTGCCAACAATTATAAAAAAAATTAAAAAAAAATGTTAAACGTAAAATAGGTGTTCTTTGTCTGGATATCATGTAGGTTATGATTTCCTGGTTCCCCATAAAATATTAAATAAAATAAATAAATCCCGCTCGTGACACTAACTTTTTCATCTCAACGAAGACCGTAGATAAAAATAATAATTAATTGAAATAAAATAAAAAGTTAAATGTTTTGCTCTACCTACTTAATACGAAATGGTATCTATTAAAAACATTAAAAAAGTAATGATTTCAAAGGTGTTGATGAAACCAAAAGGGTACTTCTGTGTTGATTTTTATTTCAAAGCATTCCCTGTAAGTTCAAGTGCCTAACAGTTATAAATATAAAAAAAATAATTAATTAAATAAATAAATCCCACTCGTGACCCTAAATTTTCATCTCAACCAAGACCTTAGATAAAAGAATAATTATTGAAATAAAATAAGTTAAACGTTGTGTTCTACCATCATATTACGAAAACACACACACAAAATAATAAACAGCAAATCCAGACAAAGAACGGGATTTCATGTAGTTCATGATATATTTCTCCAAAAAATAAAATATTAAATGTAGTGTTCTTCCTCTTAATATAAAATGGTATCGATCAAAAACTAATTTAAAAAAAGGCGCTGACGAAATCAAAACGTACTTTCTGTGTTCATTTAATTTCAAAATATTCACTGTAAATAGACTGCGTAACAGTTGTAAAAAAAAGAAGAAAAATGTTAAAAGTAAAACAAAGGGATTATTTGTGTAAATTCTAATTTCATGTTGTTCATGAACGAAAATCCGGTTTCCTCGTAAAAACGTTAAATGTAGTGTTCTACCATTGTGGTACAAAATGGTATAGATAAATAAAGTTATAAATGATGATAAAAAAAAGAAAAAAAAAGGTGTTGACGAAATCCAAGGGTAATTTACGTGTTGATTCAACTTTCAAAGTATCAACTGGCCTAACATCAAATAAAAGTTGTAAGGAAACTTCAAAAAGCTTTTAGTTCCAGCAGATTTTCTTTATTTATTGAAGACACCTTTCACTCATTCATTGGTTCTAATTTAAAGTTCTTCCTGTAAATCCTCGTTTTCTAAGTATTTAAAAATAACTGTTTATATATTTTTGCCGTGATTTTTGCATGAATAAAATGCGTGTCCTTTGCTTAACAGAACGTAAATTCAATTCAAAAAGAAAAAATAAATAATTTCTTTCATGTACAAGTATATATTTCATGAATATTCTGTTTTCTCATTAAGTAAAAATTCAAGTCTAGCGTTTCGTCTTAGTACAAAAAAGTGTGGAGTAAAAAAAGTTATAAATTTGGTTTTAATGTGGATGATGAAAAACGAACAAAACGCGTTGACCCAATAAAAAAGGTGTTTTCTAAGTGAATTCTAATTTGAAAGTACTTCCTCTAAATCATGTTTACTTCAATAAACATTCAAAACTAAATATTTTCGTGTGATATATTTATTTAAAAATGTAAACAAGGTAAAAAAAAATGTTAGAAATACCTTCACTTTTTGTAAATGACGGTTGTGCTCACATATTTGTTGTTTACAACTATCCCCATTTCAAGCATTAAACGCTCATCATCAGATTGAGAGAGTTACAATACGTCTCTTGACATGAATTACAATTGAAGACGTGTTTGTAACTTTCACTGATGATGAGCGTTTAATGCTTGAAATCCGGATAGTTGTAAACAGCAAATATATGAGTACAACCATCATTTACAAAAAGTACTTCATCATTTCTACTACTTACTTTCATGCGTTTCATGAAAATTCTGTCTACCCATAAAATAAGTTAAATATAGTGCTCTAGTGTCTTAATACGAAATTCATTAAAACGGAGTTTCATAAGATTAGAAGTACCACACTAAAGAAGGAAAACTGTTTGCATTCACGTAGATGTTTGAAAGGAGTTTAGTTTTCCTTGTTTTCCAATTATTTTAGGCCATTTGGCTGTAGGTTGAGGTATTCTTTTTGGAAAAATAGTAAATTAAAAAAAATAAATAAATATGTAATAGTCTAAGAATACTCTAAATGACCCTAGTTGTGGAAGGCAGAACAAAAGTCAAAATTATGATGAAAGTGGTCTTAGTGTAGATTAGACTTTATATTTGCCCTTTGAAAATTCTATTGTCCCTGAAAATCAAAAATGAAATCATATAGATAAAAAGCGTCTTAAAAGCCACCAATATTTAAATTTGTTTTTTTGTTTAATATATTTAGAACCCTGCGTCATAAAACGGTATGAATTTGAATATAAAAAGGCAAATAAAACGTAATAAAACAAAGAAATTACTTACCCCATTGAATTTAAAAACGATATGAAATGTTAATCTGCTATGAAATGAAAAATCGGGAAGTCTGGGTAGGTTCACTGTTTGCTTTTTCATATCTAACTGCGCTATAGTAAAAATTACTTAGATTATTGAATTTAAATAGTGTTTAAAAAATATCAACGGTATGTGTGTGATTTGAAAACACCAAACGAAAAATCAGAATTAAAGAAAATTCAACAAGATTTTTTGGAATATTTTGAATTTTTTGTTAAATACTGTAAAGTCAGTTTCAGTTCAGAAAAAACGTTTCACCTAGCATTTGTTTTGTAATAAATTTGATTCATTTGAATGAAATTTTTGTTTTAAAGGAAAAATAAATATAAGTGTCAATTTGACCTTGTTGCATAGTTTTTTTAATGGAATTTTTTAAATTTAATTTTACAAAAAATGACAGTTCTTTCTAGGCTACTGTGCAATTCTCGTGAGACCCCGATTTTGAATATATGTGATCACGGTTATACTGCAAATGAAAACAAAATGCCAGAAATTGTTTAACTTTTGCTTGAAACATTCAGAATTATCCGTTTGAACATAAAAAGTGAATGTTTTATAATGTGACAAGAAATGTACAAAAATAAAAATATAACTTTATGGCGTTGCGATCGTGTGCTAAAAATGCACCAGAAATATACGAGTCATCTAACATTGAATCGTTCATCCATAATCGTTTACCCAATCTAGGAATTTTCCCAAAGAATAATTTAAGGATAAAACTATTTTGTTATATAAATATGGACAGCAAACATTAACTGATCATTAGAAAAATCAAACTGGATATTTTCTTCTTTTAATTAAGCATAAATTAATTGGTTGGATTTAGTTGCTGGTGATCTAATAATAAAATTTTTAAATTTTCTATTTTAAATTTGCTGTGGGTAAGCTTCTAAGCAAGATGTTTTTCTCGCTTTATCCTGCAATGTCCATAGTTTGTAGTGGACTATGTACATGTTTGTAAGGGTACTTTTACAATTTTTTTCTGTTCTTGTTATGTTGATATTCAATGGGAAGTATTTGCGGTTTAAAAATTTATAGGTTTTTTAAAAATTTTTTTACTGTACGGCGATTCTCTGTAAAACGTTAGGTTTATCTTGAATGACAAGATGAATTTATAGTTTAGCTCTAATCGTTCAAACTGTGAGCAACATTTGTAAATAAATCAGCGGAAAATTTATTCCGTGTCTAAATTCCACGATGGCGCTATGGAAAAATAAAAAGTGGATAATTTTTCGCTAGATTCAAGGTTTTTTTTTCCCTTGAGGTGGAACGCAAATAGTTATTAGAGATTCAGTGCTGGCGGTATCCATCACGAGAAGAAAGTAGGGTAGAATTACCGTTTTTTTAGGCTCGAAATTTCAATTTTTATGAGCTATATAAGTGATAACCGAAAGTAAATAAATTAATGTTTAATCTGAAACCTTTCTGAACCTTTTCCAGGTTAATAACATTTATTGGAATGAACTTACTCTCTACTGATTTTTGACTTATCCCTACTTAAATTCTTAGTCTTTAAAAGATAATCATAAAAACACAACTTATAAGTAACAACAGCACTTAACCAAATCATAACGTGGGGAAATAGCTTGATAAGAAAATGTAAAGAGTATACTTCAGGAATAAAGAAAATTACCCAGCCTAATAAACTACCACTGAAAACAGATATTATTACCATAAAGAATATAGTAGAGACTATTCAACTGTCCTCAAAATAAATTTGACAACAATATAAACTTTCTTTGCCAAGAGTGTAATAAATTATACGTATAGTATACGTCAATTCAATACACAAGACCAATACAAAAATTGTAATAATTATATCTAATCATTTTAAAATTAATTTAATAAAAACAATGGTTTGTTTTCTATGGCTTTTGTTCGGTTAGATTAAATTTATTGTAGTATTCCAATCATACTTTCTCATTTGATCAGTTTGATGGCATGTCAACATAAAGGAAGCCTGGACGCGGATTTGAACCGAGATATCGCTAGAAGTATTCATTGAATGGCTTATCGTACTAATCCGAATATCATTCTGATTATAAATCGGATGTACAACTCTTTTGTTAAACTGAATGATAAATGGTAAAAACAAAAATTCTCGAAAAAGAAACGGACAACCTCAAACTCAAAAATACTCAAATTACTCAAAAATAGTAGTTAACAGATTAAAAAGAAAAAAACTCAACATAATAATTTAGTCAGCCATAGGTTTGTATTATTGAATGTTTTAACAGTATTTGATTGAATTAACAGTAAATCACACTGACAGAAAAGCAGAAAAAGAAAAAATTGTTAGAGAGTATAAAGAAAAAACGTAACTAGTGGATTTGTGCAGTGAAGTTTATCAAGAAAATGCTAAAAATTAAATTTTCAGATTCCAAGAAAATGCAAAATTTATGTAGAAATTCGAGGAAAATCCTTAATTTTCACAAAATTGTTGAACTATAAAAACCTTGGCTTCTTGGTTTGTGTAAATGGAACAAATTTACAAAAGTGCAGTTGATTCAGTCCAGAACAATTCTTGCTTGTTCAAATTTAAATTTTCAGTCAACTCTTGTAAAACACTTAGTATGAGCGTTGTGCATAGGTGGCTCAGAAATTGAGGAAAATTTATAGTCTACTATATTTTATGGTTTACAAATGTAATCTTGTTTTAAGCATGTGTTATTATATTGCTCTGTTTCACGAGCTAATATTTTTTTCTTCAAAATGTTCAATAGTTGTCAGTAGGTAAGTGTAGGAAATAGTTAACTCAATTGTTAAATATTAGTCTTATAACATTATTTTTATTTAAATAATTCAAACAACACGTTTTATTCAATAATAATCAACGTTAAATCAATTATATCCGATTTATAGGGCCGATGTCGAATATTTAATTGAGTAACAAGATTTGACTTTTGCTGAGAAGCTTTGTCGGTGGGCTTTTCCAATTTGTCAGCACTTTTGATCGTCCCTGGTCATCCTGGTAGGCCCATTCTCGATTTGTTCTCACCCTGCAGTTACCACAGAAATGATTGTTAGAGATGAGGAGGAAAATATAATACGGGGATTTAATGTTATTTTCCGCGAGTAAAGATTTTGTTGTAATCCATTCATTAATTATTTTTTCTAATTATATAGATGCGTTTTGTTATGTTTTCTTTTTTTCTTTTTCTTTTCTGTGGTATTTAGAATATTCCGGAATAGTTTAATAAGTATGTTATCAGTAAAAACAGGGTCGGCATAGTGCTTCCTCGCCAAATAATCTTGGGGGGTTCGTGAACGAGCACGAAAGCTGGTCACGGAAAGTGGGCCGGGTCCGATGGAGGGAAGATAACTAGCTGTGATAATGCTTTGTTTAAAATCCTATCTTTTCTGTTTAATGAGTAATTAATCATTATATAGCATTTATAGACTTATAGCGTGAGTTACAGGCCAAAACGTGTTTTAAAGATTTTATAAGAAGTGTTTTTTTAATTTTATTTATTTATTTTTTCTGTTCACAGGCATTGTACATAGTTGATGCGTCGGTGATAAAACAGTCAAACCATGGAAGACGCCCACGCGAAAACAGTGGAGGAAGTTTTAAACTACTTCAATGTTGACAAGGATAGAGGTCTCACTCTTGACCAGGTCAAGAGGAATCAGGAGAAATATGGACCCAACGGTAAGTGAATTTGTCGAATTGAATCACAGGCCGTAACCAGGGTTGCTACAACGAAAAATTATCAGACAGTAGGTTTCCAGAAGAAGAAATTCAATTTTGTAGTAAATATGCCTTGTGTCTTTCGTTTGGCGTTTCAAATCGGCCGGCGGAATGCAAATTGCCATTCTCTATTGAAAACGGGTTAATTAAAGAATGATTTAACGGGACATTTCTGCAAATACAAACACGGGTAATGTGCCATCGCAGTGAAAAACGGTATGCCAGCTCTTCATAAAATCAATAAAACTCGGGGGAGTTTTGATTTACAGCGAAAACATGATCGTGTTTTTCTTGAGATCGATTTACTTTTCGTTTCAAACTTTTATTAGTTGTTTTTTTTTTTTGACAACCTGGGAAAACATTTTCGTTTACACTCAAAACAAAATTTCTTGGCTATAACGCAAAGCTAGATTAATAGCAAAATTCTACCTTTTTCCATAGATCAATTTATTTTAGAGAATGTGCTAAAGTTTACTAGCTTGTATTAAACGGTATAGCAGTTTTTTAAATTTGAAAATTGCTTTCGTATATGTGTTTTGCGTCATTCTTTGAATTTGAATTTCATTTTTTTAACAATAATATCTTCCCTAGTTTTAATTTAAATCAGACAGATTTCATTCAATGTATCATTTGATTTGTTTTATCTAAGTGTGAATTCCTGCCAAGTAAATAAAAAACAGAATAGATAAGATTTGTATTCCGAAACCGAAGTTCCTTTTCTTTTTTAACTCTTTTTTTCGTCTTGTATATTCAGTAGGCTAAGGGGCAGATAAGTTACGTTTCACCACGGCATGCACGTACGTTCGCAGTCAAGAGGGGGGATCTTATTTGATAATTACTTATAAATGAACATTCTTGACGGACGAAGTGACGTCAAACGCCCTCATCATGTACGCTTTTATTTTTAAATTTTTTTGAATAGTTCTTAACCTAAGGTATACATAAATTTTTTCGCTGGGCTACAAGAAAAACCAATGGGGTCGTTTCCGATCATTCTGGCCTGATTTCCTGTTCCTAGCGCATATCTGGTATTTAAAAAAGTTAAATATGAAAAACGATCAAATAAATTATTAGGCATACTGCAAAGCGCCAGAGATATTTGATGGATTAAGGCTTATTTTATCGAAGTTAGGATCTCCATTTACGTTAGAAAGTTCAGTTTTAGAATAACATATAAAAAGTACATAAAAACATCCTTAGTCTGTTTATTTTAGTTTTAAAATATACATTTTTTAAATTAGTTTAATAAGTTTATTTGTATAATTTGGCTTTATCTTTCTCTTGTTACGGATTTTCGGTTTGGATGAGTAACGCACGCTAGGAAACAAGTGAGTGCTTAGGGAAGATTTAACAGGTGAACACCCCCAAACGGATTATCAAGATTCAACGTCGATAATTTTACCAGAATTAAGATCTCACTGACCTAATTAAACTTAGAGGTGAAATAATTGTAAATTTCTTTAAATAATTAATCCAAGTATAAATGAGGACATTAGTTAAAACGGAATTTCCCCTCTAGATGGAGATGTCAGCAATGCCTGGCTTTCTCGTCAAGTCCAATAAGGCCCAATATTTCCCAGGGCATTCCTACACCTCGGATCTTTTGTTATTCGGGTCGCGCCGTCCTTCACGCTTCCCGTCCCATGGGCCTCGTTTTAATTTTAAACGGAATTTTTCCGGGATCGGAACCAGGAAACATTTAAGAAATCCCGGCCAAAAATAAGAGGACACGGGGCGTCCTAGGAGAAGAGGGAACTCTGCCAAATAGTGCATGGGCATGCCAGGGAGTGACCATAAAAGCCTTTGCCGTTCTCTTTGGCGTCCACCTGGGACCCTGGGCAGATATAGCCGGAGATTAAACCTCCTGACCGATTTTCTCCCCCTACGTTTTTAAAGATCTACAACGTTTGTCAAATAATGATTAAATAGAAATTTTAAAGTGGTTTATCCTGAGATAATTACGTCAACGTTCATAATGTCTGAAACTCATGGTCGACCCTCGATCGACACTTGTTCAATATACGCAATCATACGTATGGAAACGAATTCCAATTACCCTCGCGATCAAATCGTTTATTCCCTCGGTGCACTCGAAATTTGAATTGATTGGCAAATCGACTTATATTATTAAATTAACTCAAGGTAGTGAGCCAAATCGGCGGGTAAAAAGCCTCTCAGTTTGAAGTGATTATTGTGAAATTTAGCGTACTTGCCAATGCGAATTATAAAAAAATACGTACGTTCAACTTGTGATTATATATAATTTCATGTAAAGTCATTAACTTCTTCCTGTCTCAAAATCATGACGAAATAAGTCGTCCTTAAACCAGACTGTCATTTGCTTTTTTACCTCTCAGATTATTCTTTAGATTGTTTTTTCCATCAATGGACTAAAAGATGGAGAATAAAAATTAATCAAAATAAATGCATCCACACAACCCTCTGCCTTTCAACATTTCCAACTTTCTTCTTTAACAACATACCGCTTGCGGACATAGTGAACATGTTTCTCGACAAAATGCTGACTAAATCCCTACACTGAACTGAAAAAACAGGAACTTCACAAACGATATAACTTCTTATACGTATACTAGACAAACGATCAAAAGTAAAACAAAAAATATTCCACACATGTACCACAAGACAGTACTCGTACTCTACACACTCTCCAAATTCGTTTTGTCAAAGAACTCGTCCTTTCCCGTTAAACAAAATTCCATAACTCCATAAGTATACACACTAACCCATTTGACCAACAAATATGCTCCCTATAAAATCTCGCCGGGTCAACCTGCCCTCAAAATTGGATAGTGGTCAAGGGACCTACTACCTACTTCATTGGACGACTTTACTTTTCCTGCCTGCACGTCATTTTAATTTTTATATATGTGTGCATATACATATAAGTGTATATGTATGTATATATATAATTCTTTTACTAATGTTAATTTTTTAATCAACTTAATATACGTATATCTTTTGTTTGTTGCATCTCTAGATGCAGGTACAAATTGCGTACAAAAAAAAAAGAAGATTTTTGTATGTTGAAAAATTGTGAATACTATTTTTCCGAAATCAGCTAGATATAAACAATCCAGGAATCTTGCTCACAAAAGATAAAAGTTACACGTTTTTAACGTCTTCCTTCCTGTTGCGAAACGTAAAGAAACAAGTAGTCATTAACCTGCCAACCCTGTTTTTCACCTCTCAGACCATTATTGTTTTCTTACAAGTTGTATTTTTTATGTGCCATGTAAAATCATAAGATTGCGATACTATTTAATTAATAATAAGTACAAAGAAGTACGTAGGGTATCAAATGATTTTTTTAAATTTAGAATTTACGTACTTCTTCCACAAAAATTGCAGTATTGATTTTTCCTTATACAAGTGGAAATAAGCAATTTTTTTATTACACGTCAGTCAGATTTTTGTTTTCAACGTTGTTGAAACATTGAGTGGTGCGGTAATGTCGAATGATGAAAGTGGCTTTAAAGCATGACGTACAAGAGGAGGGGAATGACCACGTAAGACAAAGGTCGGAAATGAGCAAGTCTGATCTGCTTTGCCTTTAGATTGTTATTTTTGATGACGTCTGTTTAAGACGGGTCTGTTTTTGACGATTGTACACATGTTGTGTAACACAATTTTATTTTGTTTTACAAAATCTTGTTGAAATAAAAATTTATAATTCTATGAAGGATTAAAGGAAGAATTTGATAACGCCATTAATTTTCATAAGACGAATGGTTGTGGAAAACTGGATTATTTGATAACCAATGTTTCGTTACTTTACCTAGGCAAAGAGTTGTTTATAAAAAAAAAAATTATTTCCTCTTGGGTTAAAACAGCTAGCTTAAAAGCGGAGTCACTACAGGCAATTATGAAAGAGGCCTATCAGACAGTTCCAACATGCTTCTTTACATTCGGTGGTCACATTTTGATTACGATAAGCCCACCAGACCGTTAGTCCCTTAATAGAATTTCCTCTTTTCCGCTCGCAACTCCCAATTAAAACATATTCACCAGCATATCCTACGGTCTAATTATCAAACCAGCCCAGGGCGCAAGATGTGTACGGCGATTGTAAAAAAACAGTCATGTAACTATTTCGCGTGATCGGACTAAGCAAATATACGAAACAAAAAGCTATTTCAGTTGTTGGTGCTAAGAAGAGACGGACAATTGCTCAAATATTCCTCCCATTTAGCGTCAGACAAACGTTTTAATAAGCCGGACAATGTAATTCCGCAATTCATCCGCGAATGACATTTGAACAATCGTTAACATTCATATCGTATCGTCATTTATAGTTGTTGCATTATGTAATTTCTCATTCAATAAGGCAATTTTTGAAATTAGAAATAATGTTGATGATAGTAGTTGAACTCATGTTGAACTGATCGACACCGATCACTTTATTGGGTTCTCTGTTCTCGCAGGATAAGTGTTTACACTCAGCTGAGTGGCGCCGCAGTTCCTCAATGAAGATGGCGTGATTCCGATTCGCGAATGAGTGCATCACCGAGGAATGTATTAACCGTAAAGTGATCAATGGCGGTCAGTTCAATATGAATTTTACTCTACATAATGTTACGCTTTCTTTCCTTAATGAAATTGCCATCGAGTTATAAGATTTATTTATTGTTTTATTGAACAGCAAATCCATTTTGTGATATTACCCTTGTTTGTCTTGTTCTATAGAATATTTTCTCTTTTTAAAATTGAGTTGATTTATAAAATAAGAAAGTAAAATTTACCCTACTCGTCGAATTTATTCACTTGGCCAGTGCTGTTAAATCGTTAAAAATCTAGTTGACAAATTGCCGATCAATCACTCATCGGCTGATACTAAATGGAATTAGACAAGAAAAGGAAGAGGACGGAATCATTGAGGCTGGTCGGTACAAATGATTTATCTCCTTTTCGGTTCTCCAGGCCAGCCCCTTGCCAGTTCCTCTGGGACGGTTTTGAAGGATTATTTTTAAGTCCATAGTTGTCTGAGAAAACATATCAAAGGCTGCCCTGGGCCTGTGATTAAAATTAGCCACTAAGCTAGAATGACTTTGGTTTGAAACTAATTTGACTTTTTATTTCTGTTTCAGAGCTTCCCACTGAGGAAGGTAAGTCTGTCTGATATCTTATTTACTTTTAATTCAGATAAGTCATGTAAGATAGCAGCTATCTAACTATATAATAACCGTAACATCTCTTTCTTTTATCAGTTTTTATTAACAACTGAAACACAAGCTGTGGAAAGTTTAAACCAAATCTTACCAGACAAATTAAAAAAAAAGTAATGACTTGCTAGAAAGTATAGAGGTCATACAATACTTCATAATACGATGTTTCATTTATATTTTTTATTAATTACCCATTCAACATTCCTTAATATAACAATTTTACAGTATACGTTTTTCATGCTTAATTGAATGACGTCTGTAAGCAACATGGCAAATATAGTTATCGTTTGCCTTCAAAGCATACTTTTAACTTTTTTCATTTGCTATGTAGAATTTGGCGTTCTTTCTTAGTAATATGTCTTTCTCCGTTGTAACCCCAAATCGTATTTCCTCACGGAAGTGTACACAGTAGAAGGTAATTTTATTTTATTTTTTTTACCAACAAAGCCCAAGATGCAGCCTACGCCAGCGGGATATGTACGGTTTCGCCTATTGATTGCTTTACCCTGCTGGCTAAAACAATTCAATCATTTCAAAACATTTTTCTACCGTCCCGGAATAGAACTGTCTTTCTTTCCACCACTCTCCCTATTTCTCACACAGTCTCTCTCTCTCGCTCTCTCACTCACTCACTCACTCTCTCACTCTCTCACTCACTCACTCACACACTCACACACTCACACACTCACTCACACACTCACTCACTCGATGAGGTTTTGGCTTTAAAATGACAGCCTTTGCTTTTATAGCCTCTGTTGAGTAAACATTTTCCGTTTCCAACTAAATAAAATGAGAGAAAATTCAAACTTTTTATTTAATGGTCACATATTCTCGAATATAATTTTTTTACATACACAGCCTATTATTGATCAATTTTACATATATTAATTATATGTATGAAAACGATACCTAAATATCACACAAGGCCCAATTAAGGGCTGAGTAATTAACAATGTGTGCATTACTTTTTACTAAAAACATAATAAATTCAGTACAATTTATAGGTGGTTTTGATTAGCGTATGGAATAAACGAAAATTATGTACTAGAAAATTGAAATTCACATTTTTCTTCATTACCCCTTTGATGAATAATAAAATAATAAAAATCACACTATTTCTTTCTATATTTGACACAAATATGTAGGATTAAAAATTACTAGCAATTTATTTTAGAATCATGCCTCCACGTAGTTAATTAGTTTGATCTTTGTAGTCTTATCTTTGAAAAAACGTTGTTACTGTTAATTTAGTTAAAAAGAAATACATTGCCTGATGTTCTTACAAAATCAAATAAAGAATAATATGACATCTTTCTCTTATACACACATTGCCTTATAATTAGGTTTTATATTAATATTGCAATTTCACATTATCTTTTATTTACGATCCTTTTTAATCTAATATTGGAACACTCACGTTGGAAGCTTACATGAACGTTAGATAACAAGTTTTTTCCCCGATGTTTATGTTTAATTTAATATCAATGAAATTAATAAAAAATGAAATTGTTGACTGATGTGATATCAGTTGTAACACTATAATTTTATGTAAAAAAATCAGGGATAAAGGCCAATCCCATTCATCACTCATAAATTCATTATGGTAAGTAGATGTTTAATATTAGTTAACTATGAGATTAGAAATAATTTAAAAGCCCTGAGGAAGAAGATTCCTCGAAAGCGTGAAGGACCAGGGTGTTACTCTTTCTTTCAAATTCGTCTTACCGCTTATTTTTCATAAACAATTGTTACTATCTTGCTTTAGTGTAAAAAGCGGTTCAGTATAACACGGATTTTAGTGAACTTAATGAGATTGAAATATTTACTCGGGGTTTTAATTGCAAGGAGTAATTTGAATATTTAAATTAGGACGTTGACCATGTTTCACAATCGAGCCCTATTGCATATCGGCCCTGAAATAGTTTTCTAATATAAATTGTGACATGATATGTGATCGACACGATTAATGTACTACACTAACTGTATTAGAAAATTACAAGATAAAATCAAAATAATTTGCCAAAAATGTCGAATTTTGTGAAATTTATTGTAATTTTTGTTTTAAATAGGGGTCAAAAAATTCCGTTTATTTGTTTCGTTCGTCATTGCTAATTTGGATATTTTAACTTAAACGTTTACAGTTTATGTTTAGTATTTTATAAACAATTCAACTTAGTTTAAAAAAAAGTTAGCTTAAGTTAGTACAATATGTTAAATGTAGCTTAATGTTAGTACAATTTGTGGACAAAGGTGTTTAGGTCAGTTCTGTCAATTAAACATTTGAGTCCCATTCATCTCCAAACTTCCTCTTTTTTCAAATTTTCTTCGATATTCCCTATTTACCTTGTGTCTTCTCGCAGAACAGCAAAATTCGTTTTAGGACTGACAGGTCAAGGTGGGCAAACGCGACGTCGCGAAGGACGCCTCGCGAAATGTTTTAAATAAACCAAACTTTTCTAAATCCCCCTTACGTCGAGCTTGATGTATAAAAAACAAAACAACTAAAGTTAGGAGGTGGTTAAAATAAACGAAAACAAACCTTTTTTAAGCTCCGCCTTTGTATTGAAATGCGCGTAAACAATTTATAGTGGAAAGAGGCCAGCCACGTTGTTTTCTGACTCTCATATTCAATATATCGTATTACCTTAATGGACTTACATAGATTTTTTTTATTGCCAAACATAAAACAGTGTGAAATTATTGTTAGTAAATATTAATAAATAAAATAGTTTCCATTAAGAGACAGGCTGGGATTGAAATGCAGACTTCAATGTTAAATCTTTGGTTTAAAATTAAACTATTGCTCAATCATTTATGTTGTTTATTGTAATGTTAAGGACGTGGTTATAATAAAAAAGTATAATTCAATATTGTTTTCACAAGTTACAAGTCCATATATTTTTTTATTTTGTACAATCTGAAAACAAGCTGTAATTATACCAGCATGATGTAAATGTTGATTTGAAACATACTTGTGAATCTTTATACTATTTTTAATATGGCCTTGTTCGATAAATCTTGCACGTATATTATTTCCCGTGACTACGGTTAAGTTCAAAAACAAATAGAAAATGCAAATTAGAACCACGGAACTTTTTGATTCTTTTATGATTTTTATTCATAGGTGTCTGTTTTATATGTCAAGACTATAAATTATGAAAATGTATGTTAAATTAATACAGTTGGAAATTTAAAATAGTTTTAATTGTAAAGAACTGCTGAAGTGTTGGCCATTTTTTTTTCACTTTTGACTCGGCCAATTTTTATTGTACGTTATCGGATACAGTTTGCACGGTTCTTATTTTTAAAAAAGAAAGTTTTAATATTGTTTAAAATAATGACACGCTTTCGATATCGATTGAACCGAGGTCTTAAACACGTCTTAAGATAATGGACGCGTGTTGATGAAACGGACGTAAACATTTTGATCGGCTCCTGCTGGTTTGTTCTAGGTCAGAAGGCGTGTCACTTACTACATCGACGGACACAAAAATAAAAATATAAAACGTTTATTTAACGATTTCACACTAAACAAAAACGACGGACATTGACAAGTTATTTTCATCCTTTCGCCAGGAGGCAGTATAAAGGGCAATAAATGATACCAAGCATCAACAACGACAGCAAATTTTTATCGTACTTTATTTATGATAACATCCTAGAATTTTTCAATAATGTTGATTTAAAAAAAAATCTAAATAAGATTTTTATAAAGGAAAACTTGAAATATAACCCCTGTGTTCAATGATATAAGGTGATGGACCAGCTGTTATTCAACAGTATATTTGGTAGGATCGGGGATGTGGTCGATGTGGTAGATTGTTGAAATATAATAATAATATTTTATTTCATACAATACAAAAAAAAAGGACAAGTATTACAGCTTGGAATTATTCCATTCCGTCAGCCGGAGGTTGACCTGACACTATTATATTCGTCTACTCTCTCACTCTCCTCCCCTCCCTCAACTGTATTCGAGAATTTTCAAGTTTAAAAGATATAGAAAGCAAGAGAGAAAGAGAGAGAGAGAGAGAGAGAGAGAGAGAGAGAGAGAGAGAGAGAGAGAGAGAAAATTAGAATTTAACACTTAACTAGGTAAAAATAGAAATATTGTGTAAATAAACATGTAAAAGAGAAAAAAAAGGGAGCAAAAATGCAAACCAATTTGAAAAACGAGGGAAACGTTTAAAAATTGAACTTCTGTACTAGAAAGTATCTATAATGCCACGAAATACGTGGTCGAAATGAGTGGTCAGCAATAGGAGTCGAGAAAAGAACTGGGATTCACTAAACTTGGAAGTACTCAGGTAACGCATAGGGAACTCTGCCAGAACAGGATATATTGTTAAATAATGGAATACGTCCTCGCTTGCATTAGGTTACCGAGAGAGCACCGGGTAATTTCTCGGTCCATCCACGGCTCGTAGTTAAGTTATAAAAGTTCCCTTCCCAATTTGAACTTGACTCTAAGGCTAAGGCCAAACAGAGGTTACAAGCTAGGCGCTTAGTAACGAAGTAAGTCTGGTTACTTGGTGGCAGGTTACAAGTGGCCACACCAGGATAACTGTAGTAGTGCTTTGTGTACGGAAGTGCCCGAAATGTCTCTCTCTAAACTAGAAAACTATTTCTTTACGAAAATACTAAATTGAAATATGATTTATTGGGGTATAAGTCAAGTAGTTGGGTCCATGACATCAATCGGCGAAGAATGTTTGAAGGTGAATTGAAAGTGCTGTCCATGGACAATTACGTAGTTACGATTTTTGTGGAGATCCTCATTTTGGATTCCATATAGCAGGTCTTTTAAAAACTGCGGAAATAACTTCGTCCATCATGAAACGATCACAAATCACTACCCATCAAGTAAAAAAACAGACCCGCTGGTTGGTGAATCGCTATGTAACCACGTGATAGTGCGGCCGTCCTCGTATGTTCGAAAC